GGAGGCCGGGAAGGGGGCGGGCGCGGCGGTGACTCAGGCTCCTAGCCCCACAGGCCCGGGGGTGCCGTAGGAGACCCTTGGCGCAGCCCCAGACCTCCTGCCCGGCCATAGGGGGCCAAGAATGCCAACCGCGGTCAGGGTGTCGGGCACCTGGGCACGCGCGTCAACACGATTTCGAAGCGCTGGGACAGACCCTGGCCGCGTGTCCCGGGGGCGCCTCCAGGTCCCCAGCTCCCGGGAAACCGAGAGAAGGGACCCCGCGAGGCAGCCACGCGGGGTCGCGGCAGCCTGGGGCCCCCCTGCGAGGACCTGCTGGAGAAGCAGGTGCTTGCTTTGCCTGTGGTTGGTCTCCCACAACAAAGGCGATTCCTGGAGATCCAAATTACAGGCTGCGGGAGGCCGTGCAGGGTCTTATTATCTAGAGATGAGTTTTCTGCGGGAAGTCCTTCTGCGGGCAGGGACCCGGCAATCCGTTATAGAAGTCATTGGCAGATTCCTTCTCTCATTTAGCACCTACTATGTGCCCGCATGCTTTTAGACTCTGGACACAGCACTGACCAAGACGGCGAAAACTACCACTGTCTGTGACTTAGCACCCTTGGCTTATAAAATGGAAACAATTCCAGCCCCTTGGGAGCCTTGGAAAATATTAAATTACCCGGAACACAGGAAACACCCATCCCCGCTCGCCGCCGCGAGTGTATACGACCAAGGGACCGGAACTAAGATTTCTTAATTGTCTCCCAGGACTCTGTCCCAGATACCCCATCTCTCCTTCAGGCCCAATGATGACCTGAGAGACTTCACGTCGGGGAAACTGAGTCTGTCTCACATCTCTGCTGTCACTCAGGGTGGGGCTGCCCTTTTTTCCACCCGCTTGGGGCAGGGCCCCTGGTGCTCATGGGGTGCCAGGTGGGGTCTTGAGGGGGAGGGTTGCCTGGCCCCGGGATTCAAAGAGAAAATAAAAAGGGACCTGCCCTTCGTGAGCTTCTGAGTACGGCTTTGAACAGAAAAAAAAATGCTGCCGGCGGGATGGGCAGGGGAGTGGGGTGTGGCCAGCCCCTGGGGATGTAACTCTGGGAGAGCACTTGCCTGGCACCCTCCAAACCTTAAGTTAGATTCCCAGGTTCACAAAAAAGAGCAGGGAGGGGCGGGGGTGACGCTAATGCGGCCTAATGACCTAAAGTGAAAGAAGTCTGTTCCTCTAGGGCTAAGGGGCTTCTTTTTTTTTTTTTTTAAAGAGAGTGAGAGGGGAGAGGGGGAGAGAGAGAGAGAGAAATTTTTTAATATTTATTTTTTAGTTCTCGGCGGACACAACCAAGATGTTGGTATGTGGTGCTGAGGATCGAACCTGGGTCGCACGGATGCCAGGCGAGAGCGCTACTGCTTGAGCCACATCCCCAGCCCGCTAAGGGGCTTCTTGATTTATTTCACTTTAGTTTCTAATTACAAAGGCTACACGTTCAGGTCCAGCCACGGTGAGACTGAGATGCATTTCTATCTGTCCTTCCTGTACTCTCTGTGTATAAAAAGGGTGATTTTGTTTGTTACACAGAGCAAGGTCTCAAAGCCACCTGGAGCCATTTTTAACAACCTCTGGCCCTTCCCCATCACCCACATCCTGCAAGCCTCAGGAAAGGCTCCAAGCTCCAGTTCCACCGGCAAACTCATGAAGCTGGAGCTTGGCTGCTCAGATGAAGACATGAGACTCAGAGGCAAGAAGCTCACTCAAGAATGGTCTGCTGATTTCATTGATTTGGAAAGCATTGCCTGAGCCAATCCAAAGTGCCTAGCCCTGGGCTAGGTGGAAAGGTTTTAAAATACTTGGGTAGCATGTACAAGGTGCCAGATTCAACTCCCAGCACTGCCAAAAAATAAAAATAACAATGCAGGGGAATCCACCCCCCTTTCCTAAGAGTTCTCAATTCACTGTGGGAAGGGGAACCGAAGACAACTGTAATCAGGACCACATTATGATTTTCTTTCTTTTTAATTTTTCTTTTCCTTCTTTTCTTTCCTACACTAGAAATTGAACCCAGGGGTGCTCTACCACTAAGCAAGACAGAGTCTGGCTAATTTGCTGAGGCTGGTCCTGAACTTATGATCCTCCTGCCTCAGCCCCCCAGTGGCTGGGATTACAGGTGTGTACCCAGCCACATTATTTTTATGGGACATATATACTTCTACCTTTGTGGACATCTTCTATTAAAGAGAATTTTTAAATGTTTCAATAAATTTTTTCATGTGAGGGCTGGGGATGTGGCTCAAGCGGTAGCGTGCTCGCCTGGCATGCGTGCGGCCCGGGTTCCATCCTCAGCACCACATACAAACAAAGATGTTGTGTCCGCCGAAAACTGAAAAAATAAATATTAAAATTCTCTAAAAAAAAAAAATTTTCATGTGAAAAGAAATGTTAACATCCTTGGACCCTTGCAAAGTTGTTGTTGTTGTTGTTGTTGTTGTTTTCCTTCTGATTTGAAATCTTTTCAGAAGCCCCGAAAAGTAGGTGGGCTCAGGCACAGTACCTCTGGTGCCAGTTGGGCAGTCAGCGTTGACTGTAGCACAGGGTGAGGTGTCAAGGGAGAGGGAAGGCAAGGAAGAGTTACCCAACCAGGGAAGACTTGCCAGAAGGAGAAAGGGAGCCAGGGCCTTGCTGGCAGAGGCCCGGGAGCTCCAGTGGAGCAGGGCTTCCAGTGGGAGAGGCAGAGGAAGAAAGGGGATTTAGGAACTAAGCCTTAGGTGGCAACTTGAGAGTTTGAGTCTGTTCAGAAGTCACTGGGGCGTGCCTGAAGGCATGGCTGATCTTCCAGGAGGCAGCCCTGAGGACACTGTGGCTACCTTTAGGGCAGGCCACGCCAGCCCCCAAGGACCTGCACCAAGCGCAGCAGGGCCAATGGAGAGGAGTAAAAAGCATAAGCAGACCACCACTCATCATGCAGTCACCGCACACAGGGGGAAGGTACCAGAGGAGGATGAGATGCCAGTGGTATCCCAGCTGAGCCAAGCAGCCTAGCAGGAGGAAAAGACACCTCTTCTCCTTAAGGAGCAATTTGTTAGCCAAGATATGTACCTGTAAGCTGGTTACACCCAGAGGGGGTCCTTCTGCCTAGATTCTAACAAAGCCCCTCTTGCCAGCTAACAGTGGTCCTATTTTGAGCTTTTAAGAAGGTAAATCACTGGCACGGTGGCACATGCCTGTAATGCTACTTAGGAGTCTGAGGCAGGAGGATCACAAGTTCAAGGCCAGTCTCAGCAATTTAGCAAGTCCCTGTCTCAAAATAAAGAGGGCTGGGGATGTGGTGATTACTTAGAAGTAAAACACTGACCTACCATGTGTAAGGCCCTAGGTTCAGTCCACAGCACAGGAAACAAAGGCAGCATCTACAGGACATAGTGCCTGACGGAGTGGAATGGGTGAAAGGTCAGGCTAGTTCCCAAGTATCTGGGCTGAGAAGAAAAGGTCCAGATCAGATTTGAAGTGGAATGAGGTCACAACCTGGAAACTTTGGCTCCTGTATTAAACCCAGACCCAGTGTTTAAACCTCGCCTCTTCCCTTCCATTCTGTGACTCAGATACTTAGCCCACTGGCTGGTATCTCCAACCAGCAAGACTCTTGGCTCCCAATGTCCACTGGCTCAGCCTGCAAGGGCCAGACGCCCCTATGGGGTGGGAGACAGCTTCCTCCTACTTCTCAGTGATTCCTTGGGTAATCCCAGAGAAAGAAAAAAAGGGCCTTACTGATGGCTGACGTGGAGGAACTGTGGATACTGGGCCCAAAGGAAGCTTCTAAGAAGGAAAATACATTAACATCGCATGATCAAATTTCCCACAAATTCTGGATTCAACTTTTCAATATGTCCCAGAATTATAAAATACTAGTGGGCTTTTGATATCTCCAGTGGGCATGACTGAATTCTTTCAAACAAAGATCAATTGCTCATATAGCCTATAAATGTCAAAGGGACCACCCCTGCCCCGTGCTGGGAATGAAACACAGGACCTCAGGCACAGTAAGCAGGTAGACACCGAGCTCCATCCCCAGAACTTTTTATTTTTTGAGACAGGGTCTGGCTAAATTACTGAGATAGGCTTCAGACCTGTGATCCTCCTTCATCAACCTCCTGAGTAGCTGAGATTATAAGTGTGAGCCACCATGCCTTGGCTCAAAGGAAGTCTCTACATAGATTGTAAATTAAATCATCCCTTGTCAAATTCCAAAGAAAGTCTAAACCTAAAGATGATTTCCAGGTGTAAGCCAAACTTCCAAGTTTCTATATGTGTGTTGCAGGGAGAGGGAGTAGAAGGTTAGCCTCAGACACTTAAAATTTGAGAATAAAGCGATAAATTAAATTATTTTTTAGAAATCAGAAAACTGGCAAACTGTTTCCTCACATTGATCTATGTGACAGCCCAAAAGATGAGAGAGGAAAGCAACTTACCCAAAACGCAGTTAATGATTGGTAAGAGAAGACATAACCCTGAGCCTGTCTCCAAATCCCTGACACTTAAAAACACTTTTTAAAAAAAAAATTTATTGACTATTTCAAGCATCCAGAAAAAGGCCTATTACACACACACACACACACACACACACACACACACACACACCTCTCAGCTTTAACAAATCTAAACATTTTGACATATTCACACATAACATCTTTTTAAGAAGTAAATTGTCACAGAGGCTTGCAGCTAAGCATGCCTTCCTGCCTGTTCTCCATCCTCCCTCCCCAGGTTAACCCTTCCCAAAGCTGGTGCTTGTCATTGCCATACAGGTTCAGACACTTTTGCCACTCCCACGTCCAGAAGCAATAAACATCAACTTGGGAAGGTGGAGTACTGGGGATTGAACCCAGGACCCTTTACCACTGAGCTACCTCCTGAGCCCATTTTTTATTTTGAGACAGGGTCTTGCTGAATTCCTGAAGGTCTCCCTAGATTGCTGAGCCTGGCCTTGAATTTGAGATCCTTCTGCCTCAGCCACCTGAGCCCCCTGGGATGGCATGGCACGTGTGCACCCTGCCCACCACAGCTACCTTTCACTTGCAGGTTGCCTTCAGGAAGTTCCTCTAAATGACAGCAGCCTTGCAGTATCAAGTTCTCTGTAGTCAAGGGTTCACCCAGTGCTCAAAGGGGTCAGCAGCGCAAGGGACGTGAAGAACCCATGTCCTAAGACGCTGGGACATTCCTGTCCTCTTTGGGGTTCTGCTGCCTCTGTAGCTGCTAGGGAATCTGAATTATCCCCACCGCGTTCCCTTGCGGAAGCCCAACTCCTACCCTCACAGTTTTCCCACTGATAGCATTTCCGGAGCTGTCACCTCTCCTAGCACATCACATCGGCCTCCTCCCCCAGGCCTGGCCAGGCTCCAGTCCTGTCCCCTGCCATCTGCAATCCTTTTCCCACACAGCAGTTGAATCCTTTCCCCCCCTTTCTCTCTCTCTCTACTTCTTTCTTTTCTTTTTCTCTTGCAGCATGGGAGATAGAACCCAGGGCCTCCAGCATACTACACAAGTACTCTGCCTCTGAGCGACATCCCCCATTCTAGAAAGTTCTTTCCAGAGCAACCAGACGTCGTCGCTTGGGAATCCTCTTTGCCCAACTTTGGCCTTGAGCCTCATCCCCCGCCCACAACACTCCAGCCCCTCACAGGGAGGCAGCTTTGCCCACCTGCTTCCTCAGTTCCTGGCTCAGAGATCAGAATGTGGGGAATACTGAAAAAATGTGGCTCAGGGGTAAAGGGCCCCTGAGCCCAACCTCCAGAACCAAAAAGGAAAGAAGAAAGAAATGCAAAGCAAACATTCCCAGTAACCAGCCCCTACCTGAGTCCCAGCCCTTCACCCGCGCCCTTGACCCCTGCCCTGGCCTGGGAACAGGAACACCAGGGCAAGGTGCAAGCGCTGGAAAACTAACACACCGTGTGCTGCGCCCTGGCTCCACCTCTAGGGCAGCCCCAGCAACTGTCCCTGATGAATATTAATGTTTCCCGCCAACTGGCTGCTGCCGCTGCCCTGGGATGGCCACTTTCTCCCCGCCTCCGCTCTCCTAAATAAACTTTTGTCTTCATCTCTGGGATGTACTGACTGAGCTTCATGTGGTCACAGACACCAAGGATCCCCTTTGTCCTGAGGGAGGTCTCCTGTCTGGGAATTCCTTGGACCTCTCTCTGATGACACTTCCAGCCTCTTTGTCCTTTAAGTCTCTGTTAGGCAATTCACAATCCGGGCTAAATGGCCCCAAAGTTCCAATTAGAAAAAAAAAAAAAAGAAAGAAAGAATATAATTGCTTTATTATTATTTCAAAATAATCTACTGATATGTTAATTTGGTTTTTGTTCCCCTTTCTCGGTGGGAGACCCAGGTCTTTGATTTTGAAAGCCTGGGTCCATAGAAGCAAGGTAGGATCTTCAGTAGGGCAAGATCTCAGGATCTCAGCTTCTCAGGGTCTTGGAGTTAAGAGTGACCAACAAGACTCCAGGGGAAGTGGGAGGGATCCAGAGGACGCCCCCTAGAACTTGAGAACCTCAGGAAGGTGCCTCTGAGCTGCACTCAGACTACAGTTTGCCGAGCTTTGAGGTGTAACAGTGGGTCTGGGTGGGCAGGGTAATGGAGAGATCCCAGGGCAGGGCAGGAGTGAGTCAGGGGAGTATAGGTGGGTAAGATCCTGCCAGGCATACCAGCCTGTGCAAGGGCCCTGTGGTGGAAGGAAACAGTCACATAGAAAGAAGTCTGATGCCAGGCCTTGTGGTGCACGACTGTCAGCCCTGCAACCCAGGAGGCTGAAGCAGGAGGATCATAAGTTCAAAGGCAGCCTCAGGAATTTAGTGAGACCCTGTAGCAAAATGAAATATAAAAATGGGGCGGACGCAGTGGCACACGTCTATAACTCCAGCAGCTCAGGAGGCTGAGGCAGGAGGATCACCAGCCTCAGCAAAAGCGAGATGCTAAGCAACTCCGTGAGACCCTGTCTCTAAATAAAATACAAAATAGGGCTGGGGATGTGGCTCAGTGGTCAAGTGCCCCTGATTCAATCCCCAGTACCCTAAATAAATAAATAAATAAATATGGGCTGGGGATGTGGCTGAGTTAAGTACCCCTGGGATCTATCCCCAGTACCAAAAAAAAAAGGAAAGCTGAGGTGTGGGTTGAGGCAGCCTGAGAGGCTTCATGAAGGATCTTGACCTATTCTAAGAGCAAAGAGGGTCACTGAAGGGTTTGTGTGTGTTGGCGGTGGGGGTGGGGGGGTGGGCAGGGGGACATTATCAGACAACTGTGGCAATGCAGAGCAGCGGCAGGAAGACTGGACAGAAGGCTGTCTTGTACCAGGAGAGAGACAGGAGCTGCCAACGGGCAGGACAGGGGTGAGGATGGAAATGCAGAAGGGAAGCCAATTCCAGGTTGCCCAGGAAGGAAGGGGGGACGGACTGGGGAGGGACAGGGAGGCTCCCAGGATGACCCTGAAGCTTCCAGTTTGTATGCAAGGAGAGAGAAGGTGCTGCCCACTGAACTGTGCTTCAGAGGGAGGGGGGCAACAGGAGGACAGGGGCCCATGGCGTGGACTCCACTCCTGTCCTGGGCCCCGGCTGACCAGATTAAAAAATCAAAATGGATTTTTGAGTCACAGCAAACTATGTTGTTCTGTGACCTTGAAGAAACCCAGAGAGACAAGAGCCAATTTCCCAAAAGGGTGGGTTTCAATCGCATTCTAACTAAACAAAGCAAAACCGAACCTGCCATTAACGAGTCAGTTGGGTTCCTATGGTTCTGCCTCCCCTCCCCACTTTACAAGGGAAGTAGCTTTGAAATGACCAATCTAAGTTTGCCCGTTTTGTTTCTGTGGCCCTCCAACCTTTTCATCCATAAAACCAAACTCTGTTCGCGGGAGTTCTCATCCTATTATGAAATGTTTCCTGATTCTAGATAGAAAATAAAGCCATTTAAGATCTTTCTACTGAAGCTGGGTGCGAGACAAATGCCTGTGGTCTCAGCAGATCCAGAGGCTGGGGCTGGAGGATCGAAAGTTCAAGCCCAACCTGGGCGATTTAGCAAAAGCCTATCTGAAAACAAAAAATAAAAAGAGCTGGGATGTGACTCAGTGAGTGCCCAAGGGTTCCATCCTCAGTGCCGAGAGAGAGAGAGAGAGAGA